GCTTCCTTTTTCTTTCTTCCTTTTTCTTGCTTTTCTTTTCTTTTTTTTTTTTTTTTGCATTTGCAATGTATTCCAAGGTATGGAGGGCCCACAGTTTATTTAATTGTTTCCATACTGACGGTATGTAGGGTATTTCCAATCTTTTCCTATTCCAAACAATTCCATAATGAATCATCTTAAACATGAAAGGGAAGATTATTTTACACTAGTGCAAATAAGAGTGGATTAGAAGCATTAAATAGGGAGAGTCTGACAAATAGCTAGGATAAGTCCCTTTGTTGAACTGAGGAGTGAGGGGGTTGGAGAAGGGGCATTGTAGTTAGTTGAATGTGTAATGAATGACCAGGGAGTTCTGTCCAAGGGGAAATTTTTTTCTTGGATTAGTTTTTGCCAAATGGGATAAACAGAAGGTTTGAAAAGAACAACATCAAGTAGCCCTAGGCCCTTACATTTAATAAGATGTTCTTAATGTTTGGAAAATATCCAGTTTGTCCTTAAGGAGATGGACAAATGATTAGAAAAGTCCATTCTTGGCCACCTCCCAAAATTCCAACAACTTTTTTAAGAGGCTGAGATTGAAAGAAAAAAAGACTCCCTGCCTGATAAAGCCCTGTCAATCTAAGTAGATGTGGTACAGCAGACACTGTTGGTGGCCCACCCAACATCCATCTCCCTTCATCCTCGCTGGCAAAGCCCTGCTTTTGTCAGGTAGCCCCATGTACTATATGCCACAGAGATTGGCTTCATTCCTATCCTATCCAGGATCCAGGCAGATCCTGATTGGTCCAAGTCAGTCATGGTGGCAACATTGCCCATGAAGATGTTTGGTTGGGGTATTTGCATATGGCCCAATTTTGGCCAATGATAATGAAGACAAGTCATCTGGTCAGCTTTGGGGAGAGTAGTTAGGGTCGTGGCCCTTTTTCCTTTATTCATGTGCCAAGAGGTAGTATCTCAAATGTCTGCCCAGTTCTCTTCATCTTGTCATAGTGGGGAACAGAGAATCATTCCTGCCCCGACCCAGCCACCGCTACTCCACAGGTACCTGAGTCAATGAGGGCTGGATAGAACAGCAAGCATCCGCGCAGGTATTCCTTCAAACAATGTTCTTTAAAGGTTTAACTTCAATGTAGTGGAGTTGGGGAGAAATAGATTTTCTATCAATACTTTGTTCATTAGAAACAAATTAACTTCAGTTAATTTTCACTAAATGAAACGGAGACAGTGTTGTGAAAACATCAGCCAGTCAGTTCACTTTTCCTGTAGTTCTCCTTCCTTTTCTAGCTCTCTTTGATTTTTTTTTGAACCAGACAAGTTCCTTAGAGGCACACTGAAGGGCTTACAGTGTAGGTGACACAAAAGATCACACTTAGCTACACAGCACTAGTCACATGTTATTTGGTTTTAGAATCTCTGTTCTATGGATTTTCATTTTAGGGTTACTGCTTGTGGATGCCACAGACAAATTCACCGGGGATCTAGGTCTGCTTTAGAAAGTTTTGTTGTTTTGTTTTTAAATTTCTCCTCAAGGGCAGTAATTTGGAGGTGGCTGATTTACATTTTGGCAGTTTGTTCCAATGATAAGCATGGCTTTACAGATGAGCATACCACAATAACTAATCTAGTTGCCCATGCCCTAATCTGGTCTGGGTTACAGATTAAATACAAGATAAGCACTGAGAGTGGAATTACAAAGTGCTGTGGAGCACAGAGGGGGAAAAAAAACCCAAGCAAACAAACAAACAAACAAAAAACGTTGCCCTTTTGTGGCTGGTTAGAAGGTGGTTTGTATACTGGGAAAAAGCATGGGTTTTAGAGCCAGAAAGCAGGTCCAGCTACATAATTTGCTGTGCCCAGCATAAAATGAAAATGTGGAGCCCCTTGCCACACAATTATTAAGAACCTCAAGGCAGCAGCAGTAGAACCAAGTGCAGGGTCCCCGTGCAGGTGGCACGTCCATGAAGCCGGTCCTCCCAGAGGGGCTTGGGTTCAAATCTCACCCCTGCCACCCCAAAACTTGCTGGCTTTGGGCGAGTCACCCTCTCTCTCTGAGTCTCATTTTTTATCTATAAAATAGTGATAACTGAACCTCCCTTGAAGAGTTGGTATGAGGGTGACATGAAAAGCACTTGACACATGATAGGTTCACATTACTCTTACTTTCTTCCTTTGTGTTGTGGGCTCCTTTCCTCAGCTGTTCTCTAGGCATCCATCTTTAACCTTCTATTTTCATTACCCACTTTCTTTTCAATATCTTTCAAAAGGGTATTAGAGTGAGCATTATGAAATGGCCCACATCTAATCATTTGTAACCTACAAAGTGGCAATTTTATATGGTTCAACCTAACACAAACTCCTTAGCATGACTGAACAGTATTGTCCTTAGACCCGGGCAACTGAGACCCTTTCTTTGTGCCCACGTTTTAGGGAGCATGCACCTTACCCATCCCCCATGCTCTTCCAGACGCACCCTTCCCTCCTAATGAAGAGCCCAGGTGGCAAGTCCTCTACTAGCCCACACTCCTGTACAAGGATCCTAGAATTCCCTGCTCAAATGGCCCTCAGGACCCGCTTGGTCTTTGCCCAGGAGCCCCTTCCTCCTCCTCGCAGGCTGGGCACAAAAGTTGAATGGGAGAGATCACCACCCCACCCGACAGCTGTTTGGGCGGAGCTTGCACGGGCCAGCGTGGGTGGAGGAGGGGGCGGGAAGAGATGCTGGCACGCATGCGCACCAGTCTCTTCGCTAATCCGCCCGAACCTGCATGGGAGGAGGAAGAGGGCTCGTCTGTGGCTCCTGTTTGTACACTTGCCAGTCTCCTCCCGCCTCTCTTCGCTTCTTTCTATCTGCAGAGATGCTTCTCTGCACCTCCTCCCAACTACTTATGATTTCCAAGTATTCTGGACATTCTTTAAAACCTCTGTGACTTTCTACACGATGCTGTCTGAAATCTTTCTCCCTTTTGAACACCTGATAAAATTCTACTAGTTATTTAAGAACCAGCTTATATATCAACTTCTGTGTTAGTCATCCCGGGCAATCCTCTCTACTGCTCTTTTGCCCCTGGGCTAGACTGTGTGGGAGCTCTTCCAGGGCAGAAAACGTGCTTCTTCATGCTTACTCTCAGTGCCCACCCCCAGAGCTTGGTACTCAGTAGACAGTCAATAAATCTTTCAGTGTGATGTTGTCATCAAAATCCCAGTTCCCCAGGGACCAACTGGCCTTGAGCAAATTACTGAATCTCAGTGTCCTCTTCTTTGAAACAGAAATGAACACTATTAGCTTCTTCAGTGGTGCTAAGGATTAAATAAAACAATACATTGAAAGTGCTTCAGCACAATGATAGATACTATGGACTCAGTAAAGGGTAACCTTAATCAGCTCCTATATATTCTGATTCTTGGTAATGTGTAAGAGGAAGTAAATAGTCCTTTCATGCCAGCAAGGTGGATCCTTGGAATTTGTATTTAATACCACAATCTTAATAGAACTGTGAGAAAATAGGTTTTAAAAATTGCTTTAGGTAAGGCAAGTGATGCTTAAAATTGTTTATTAAAAAGGTACCAAGTAATATTTTTTAATAAATTCAAATCATTACGTAACTCTTGGCGCTCTTGGCACTAAATGGGTGAGAAAAATACTACACTGCAATCTATTTTGGGAAGTATTCATAATAATGCTTCTATGTCAACTAAATACAGGGAAATAAGGAAGCATAAAGTGTAGTTTTACATCTACCTCTTTAAGAACTTTGCATAAATATAATAACTATTATCTGTTTTTATCATTACACATTTAAGTATTCCTACAAAAATGATGTAAGTATACATATATACATTCCATTTAGATGGGGTTTTTTTATAAAGGAGTTGCAAGAAAATATGTTAATAGAAACACAACAATCACTATGTGTTGCTACAGGTATCATATCCAGTGTGCTATGATCTATTACCCCAAACTGGGGACTTTTGTCTATTAGCATATTGTGCAATATTAAATGAAACTACTGATATTTGCTTTCTTGTACCTCTAAATCCTGTTTTTATTAAGGAGAAAAACCAAGAAAATGGAATGTGATCTAAGCTTGCAGGAGAAATTAAAATGGGTTGATTTTACTTACTTGAATCTTATTGCTCATATAGACTGACTATAATAAAGTTTGCCTACTTTGGAAAAGAATTTAACTGACTATAATAAAGTCTGCCTACTTTGGAAAAGAATTTAACTGACTATAATAAAGTCTGCCTACTTTGGAAAAGAATTTAATGAGCTCAATTTTTGTTCTCCGAGCTAGTGCGACTAAAATAAAATAGAAAGGATGCTGCCATAAAGCAGGTGAAGCAAGCAACTGTTTGGTCCGTTGCAAAATCAGACACTTTTCTGCAAGTTATCCATGCTCTTAATATGCTATTAACTGTTATAGCTTACAGTCTCAACTACGGGAGATTACAAGCCTACCTATCTACAAGGGCTAATTATGCTAGTTTTTTCTTTTCACAGTAACACATCCCATTGCACTTTTAAGATTCACTCAAAGGGACTTCTCTGGCGGCGCAGTGATTAAGAATCCGCCTGCCAATGCAGGAGACATGGGTTCAATCCCTGGTCCGGGAAGATCCCACATGCCGCGGAGCAACTAAGCCCATGTGCCACAACTACTGAGACTGCACTCTAGAGCCCTCGAGCCACAACTACCGAGCCTGCGTGCCTAGAGCCCGTGCTCTTCAACAAGAGAAGCCATCGCAATGAGAAGCCCACACACCGCAACAAAGAGTAGCCCCCGCTCACCACAGCTAGAGAAAGCCCGTATGCAGCAATGAAGACCCAACACAGCCAAAAATAAATAAATTAAAAAAAAAAAAGATTCACTCAAGTCCACAATGGCTGCTAATTTTAAAACTTAGGACACATGAAGATACCTGAGGTTGAGAATGAATGAGTTATGGGGGAGGTGGAGATACTGATAGCAAACTTGGGGAGATTTCAAAGGCACAGAAAGAAATTTGGTTAATCTCGTGTATTCTAGGTGGTAGGACTGAAAATTAGTGTTATCCTGACAATGGCAACAACAATGTCATAGTAAAGTAGTTTTTCTTTGAGTGGTCTCTTGTACTTAAAAGTAGAATAAATGGAATCCCATCTTTACTCTCGCCACAAGGCACAAATACTTGATTTCTAAATTGGAGGCCAGAGGAACCAGAAGCTTCCTTATGGAAAGAGATGGCGGAGTTTGGCGTTGAGTTCTCTCTCCTTGCTTAAAAGATCCAGGCTGTGCTTTTTGAAGGCTTCTGACTGCAGCCTGAGTTCATCGTAGGCCTTCTGGATCCCATCTACCCTGCGCTGGAGTTCCCGGACTCTCGAGTTACTGTCCACGGCCACTGCCTCTTGTTCGAACCGCTCTAGCGCACGCCTCCTGGCCACATCGGCCGTCTCCAACTTCTCCTCAAGCTGGCGGATCTCTGCTTGCTTGTTCTGAAGCGCCTTGCCCCTCTCCATGGACAGCTGCAACAGCTCGTCTTTCTCACAAGTGACGGTCTGCAGCCTGGCCTGCAGCTCCCGGTTCAGCTGGCTGTGTGCCTGCTCGGCCTTGGCCATCTGCTCCATGGCCTGTTGGTGCTGCTGCTTGAGGCTCTGCAGCTGGCTGCGCAGCTGCTCTGTGTCCTTGGTGTGGGCACAGGCCTGCTGGCTCTGGAACAGCTCCAGCAGTTCCTTCTCTCGGGCCTGGGCCTGGCAGGCCTCCTGAGCGCTCCTCTGTTTCAGAGACTCCAGCTCCTTGGTGAGGGCCTCACTCCGGGCAGTGAGCTGCAATACTTTGGCCTCCTGGTCCTTCAGCGCCTGGCTGAAGAGGTGGTCATTCTCCATCCTCAGCTTCTCATTCTCCTCTCTCAGCTTGATGTTCTGACTTTTGTGTTCGTCCTTGAAGCGGATCATCAACTCGTGGTTGGCTGCCAGGGTCATAAAGCGTTCCTCCAGCCTCTGGGCCTGCTCGCTCTTGGCCTTCAGCTTCTCAGCATCCTGCATCCTCTTCTCCTCCAGCTCTGTGTTGAGCAGCTCCAGGATCTGGCAGCGCTCCAGGGCCTCGTCTGACCTCCGCTTCAGGATGCAGATGAGCTGGGACTGCTCCTGGATGCGGGAGTACAGCTTCGCCTTCTCACTCTTCTCCTCTTCGGACAGTCCCCGGAGGTTTGCCAAGGCTTCCCTCAGACCATCCAGTTCCTTAAACTCCATCTCCTCTTCCTGGTTTTCTAGATTTTTGTTTTGCTTATCTAAGGGTTCTTCAGAGGGTGGGGTGTCCATCCTGAGAGCCGTCTCTTCCTGAGGCATCAGCACTCTCCTCTACTATCGGCTGACTGCACTGCCTCCCCCCTCCAGATTTCAAAAGCCGCGGTGTTGCTAGGGACTCCTGGCAATGTCTAGCAGTCGTTTTTTCACCCAGTAAGGAGCCCTGTGATTGGTGGACAGGTCTTCAGAATGCTGTGAAGTAACCACAGGGGGACTCCGGTGAGTCCAGAACCAATCTGGTCAGGTTATACTTGCCTATCTAACCAGTCACAGCTCTCAGCCCAGTGTCTGGCCTGTACTGTACAGAGATGCCAAGCCCACCTGATTTCCAGCCAGCATCAGGGGAAGAAGCCTGACTCCACATAATTTCTTGGGGGAGTAAACAAATCAAGCAGTGGTGACATATTCCTCTTCCCTCTCCCGGCTTCAGTGGTCATGAGAATAAAGTCCTCTCTGTGGAAAGTGTTGGCTCCTTAAAAAATTTGCAATCTATAAATACAAAGTAGCAGTAGTACTCTGAGAGCGGTGATCCTAAATGGCTGTGAGTTTGTACCTGCAGTGTTTAACACACCTCAGAGAAAGAGCAAACCCCAGAGAAATTTCTTTTGTTTCCCGAAGCATTGTCCCCAACCGGGAATACATTTTATTAGCTATTCAGCACTCCCTGTTTTACCCACTGGCACAACAGGGTTACAGAGAAAAGCTTAATGGACGATATAGATGTGATAAACATTAAAACAGAAAAAAGATTCAAATGAGGCTTACCTTATACACACCAAAGTCAATTCCAGATGGATTAAACAGTTAAATGTAAAGACTAAAATGAAAACAAAGTATTAAAAATGGAAACTAGAGGAAAACAAAGGTAAGCATTAAAGTTCTGGGTCAGGAAGGACTTTCTTAGCTTAAATGTTATGTAAGAGATGAATAAGGTAACACTCAATTTGACTTAAACATCTAAAGTTATATATAATTTACAAAACTATGTGACTCTGAGGTCTGGAGCCCCTTCTTCCTCAGGACCTGCCTGACGTTTTAGTTTTATTCCCTAGCCTAACACCAGCTATTGACGTTTCCCTAGCAGGCCCTGTCTGTAGGTGTTCCCTCTGCCTGGAATGCTTTTTCCCACTTTGTCCCTTGTCACTCTAGTAATTTACTCAGCATTTTATACTTAGATAAGAATCACCTCCTCTGTGAAGCCTCTCCTAGCCCGTAAGTGTAGACGTGACCACTCACCTCTTTTAGTGCGGCCACTCTAGTCTATTTGTACTTCCAACAGAGCATTTGAAAGCCTTACTGCACTCATCATTTACTCCCCTGCCTTCCCCTGTTAAACTCTGAGATCCTTAGGGGCGGGAACTGTGTCTGTTTCATCCTTGATGACTAGACCAATGCCTTGGGGAGACTCAGATAAATATGTGTTGAATGGATGTTGAAGGCAAAAATCGAATAGAGAAAACTATCCACCATAAATATGACAGACAACAGATTTATATTTTTACAAAGAGCCTGTACAAATCAATAAAGCATTAACATCTTAAAAGAGAAATAAACAATTGAATTCACAGATGAGGGGACAGAAATGGCCAAGAATTGAACCCTATCAGGGATCCAATAAATATAAGTTAACATTAGATATCATTTCATCTATCAAATTAGTCAAAAATTTTCCCCTTCTTTTAAGATGACCCAGATACCTGGTATTTAAGATACCTGGTATTATTATTTAAGATACCTGGTAAGGGTATACCTGGTATTTAAGATACCTGGTATTATTATTTAAGATACCTGGTAAGGGTATAGTGAAATGGGTGCTCTCTTATACCATGGTAAAAGTCAATTGATGTATTGAGAACTTAAAGCACCTTTATGCCTTTTGAACTAATGACTGTCCATCTGGGAGAGATCTTTGTTGAAAGAAAGGCCTTTTTCTGAAAGAAAAAGTTTTGCTCCAAGTGTGGTTTATAACGGCTAAAAGTTGGAAACCAAAATGTCAAAAAAGAGAAAATTTAAAGAAAATTATGATATTTTCATATAATAGAATATTATGTAGACATTAAACGTTATCATGTTTATAGGTAATTTAATGGCATGGAAATACTTGTGTTTGAAAGATAATTGAAAAAAGCGAGATAAAAAAGTTAAAATTTAGAATGATCTTAATGATGTGAAAACTTAAACACAGAGCAAAGAGTTAGCTATTCCTGCAATCACTGTTAAGTCTGTGGTCAGACTTAATTTCTCAAGTCATGATGATAAGGAAAAAGCCTGGGGTGTTATTATACATGGATGGATTTTTAAATGCTTCAGGTTTCACTTGGAGCAAAATAGATCTGAAAGAAGAGTTTGAGATTTTTGCTTTGGTCTCAAAGATCAGGATCTCCTCTCCCAAATCCTGAATCTGTCTATCAGGGAAAGCTTTCACCAGCAAAAGGCTGGGAAAATTTCCTGAACTAAAATTTTAATAATTTAAATTATAGGTTATTTAGGGTTTATGAAAGTGAATTTAAAAATGTGAGTGAAACTTACTTTTAATTTCCCCCTCACATCTCTTCTTCACTTTTCCTTAAATTTCAAGCTTCATATACTGAAATGGAACTTGAAAAACTGAGGCAAGTGACTAGAAAATTAGAATAGTCCTCATTTAAATAAAAGGGTCAGACATACATTGAAAATTTTTTTGCTGATTATCATATATGGTTGTCTGATGTAATAAAGTGAATTCACAGAATATGTTTCCTAAGAAAAGAAAAGAGGAAAAATACTCAAGATGTTAATAGCAGTTGTTTCTTGAGGATGAGCTTATGGATGCTTTCCCCTCTCTTTGTACCTAAGTCCCTTGCACATAATAGATGCTCAATGAAATCTGTTGATTAAATACATTTTCTACATTAGGAATATTTTATATATCTCTTCTACATTAAAATTATTTTAAATATTAAATTCATAGATCACTTGTCAAGGTTAAGAATCTCAAAAGATCCTAATCAGTATTCATTCACTGATTTATTCAACAAACATTTGTAACGTATGGTGTGGTGCTAGATGCTAAGTATACATTAATAAATTAGGTATATCACTCTTCTCAGAGAACTTTCAGTTTAGTAATAATGACTTTTGGCTCCTTTCTGGCATGGTTTTCTTTGTTATGCCATTTTCCCACCTACCTTTGAGCCTGAAGGTATCCAGTATATTCCAGAGGTCCAAGTCATGAGCCTTGGCCAATGTTCTCCCTAGTGGTGACCAACGAGTTCCCTCCACTTGTCTTTGTTAAGTCTTTTAACATCTCCTTTTTAAAGCTGCTATTTACAGAGTTCTTCTATATGCCCTACATAGTACTAGGCATTTGTACATCTTCTCTCATTTAATTCTGACAATATTCTTGAAACATAGGCATTATTATCCACATTTTATAGTTGGCAGGGAACAAAGAAACTAATGCACAGAGAGGTTAAGTTGTCCCAAGTCACTCAGAGAGTAAGTGATAGAGACAGAATTCAAACCCAGATTTTTTGATACCGAACCCCATGGTCTTTAGTTCATCATTCATTCATTTGCTTAATCATTCATTCGTTCAATTCACATACTGAGAAACTGTTATGTCCAAGGTTTGCAGTCCCAGTTCTTAAGATAATTACCATCTAATGATGGAGACAAATAATAGAAAAACAGCAATTCAGTATGATAACTGCTAACATAATCATGGATCAATTGGACACATCACTCTTCTCAAAGAATAAAAATAGGGGCACAACGATCTGAAATCTGATCCCACATCCTGACTGAGGTGTTGAATGTGAAGAGTGAGAGTCTTCTTTTTGTAAGGCTGAAGAAGAACCAGTTCTTTAGGAACAAGTCAGCCAAAGAAGTGGAAGGAATGTTCTGTGATTGGATCAAATGTGTGGGAGCATTTGTTTTGTAAAACAAACTAGTGAAATTAGTGAATGAGCCTGTGGGGGAGTGGAGACAGGAGAGGAAATAGGAGAGCCATCCCAAAGGAGAATGGGGATTCTTCTTGGGACAAGAATTCTTCTTGGGACAACTTAACCTCTCTGTGCTTTAGTTTCTTTGTTCCCTGCCAACTATAAAATGTGGATAATAATGCCTATGTTTCAAGAATATTGTCAGAATTAAATGAGAGAAGACGTACAAATGCCTAAGAGTACAAGAGAAGGCAGATGTTCGGGGACTTTTTACTTAAATGGTGAGTATGGATGAGAGATGTACAAAGAAGTCCAAGCAAGTTCCCTGGACATAAGCCTAGGCTAACAGTAATCATGCTTTGGTGGGCTCCTAGGCCATGTGAACAGGTTATGCAGTTCCCAGGATCCTCACCATCTACTTAAAAGCTGCAGCAGTCATGATGGTTGGGGAAATTTCGGCCTCCCTGGAAACAGTCAGCAGTGACTCTTTGGAATATTATTTCATTTTTTAAATAATGGAATTTTGAAGCATTTTCACCAAAGGGGGAAACAAATTACATGGCTACCTAGCTCTTCATTTCTCCAGTGCCCATGTGTATGATACCCTATTCTTCTGAAAATGGATCACCTCTCCCTGGCCACAGGACGGACACATAATCCACGCAGGGCCAAGCATAAGGTCTTACCCTATCCATTCCTGGCTACCGTGAGTGGTCCAATAGGTGGGGACATGACCCAAGCCTGGCCAGTTTCTCCCAGAGCTCTCTCAAGCTGAATCCAGGAAAGAGAGGTGCTTTAGCTGAGAGCTTGTGATGCTGGAGCTGCCTGTCCCTGAGGAAGAGGAGAGACAGTATCTGAGTTCCTGGTTCCAGCCCACGAGTCCCCAAAGTAATCTAGTTCCTGTAGTACTTCCTTAATTCTCTGGGCTAACAGTTTATTTCCAATAAATCCCCCTTTTGGGCTTATTTCTGGTTTGGTTTCTGGAAAAAGAAAAAGAGCCCTAAAACATGCAGTTCAAGGAAATGCCTCCAGTTTAAGAAAATAAAAGATTTCAGCAGGGACTTCGCCTAAATATCCCACTGGATGAAAAGTCTGTCAACTTGAGTTCACCAAAGAATTCAGGTTGCCTACACTTTATAATGCATGAAAATCCCATTTAGCCTTCCTCTTGTAGCCAGGTGAGATTAAAGCTTTTATAGATTTTTTCGGAAAAACAATGTGACACGACATCCCCTTGGATGACCCGAGGCAGTTGGAAGTTCTGTGGGCAGATGCAAGGATGGTTCTATTGTCCCCTCTGGTGTTTTGGGGATCTGGGGATGGGGGAGGCGGGCATTCCTAGTCCTAGATGGGGAGATACCAGAACTCATCTCATTCATGCTTCATAGCTGGCTGGATGCTGGCAGATGGCTGAGCAGGTAACTGAAAAAAGGGCTGAGAAAGTAGCTTGTACTATGAAGTGGCAGGAGCTGGAACAGGATTTGCACTTCTGCTATGGCTCCAGCCGATCTTGGAGATGTGCCTCCTTTCACCTCATCTTGTCCCTCCCTGCAGCCAGAACAGGAAGAGGAAATACAGCTAGATTAACCACCCTCCTAAAAGACCTTGAGAGACAATGAGGGAAGGGTGTTGTTTTAGGTTAGTTGCTCTTACTGGCCAGTGGGTCGAAGGTTCTAGCATCTGTTTCGGGGAAAGGAGGCAAGCACTCCAGATGTTTTCAATGACGTTCGTTAGATACCTGTTGTAAGATCTCACCCTCCCCTCACCACCCAGGCTTCCCCCAACCTATATTAAATCAGGGCTTGTTTTGAGATGGTGAGCTAGTGGGGTTCTAAGGGGGAGTAATGCTTTATGTATCAAATGACCCAAAAATGTCTTTGTGGAAAACTTTAAGAATAAATGTTAATGTATCTTCAAAGCTTTTCAACTACTTTTTTTTTTTTTTTTAATTTTTGGCTGCGTTGGGTCTTCATTGCTGTGTGCAGGCTTTTCTCTAGTTGCGGCGAGCAGGGGCTACTTTTCATTGTGGTGCGTGAGCTTCTCATTGCGGTGGCTTCTCTTGTTGTGGAGCACAGGCTCTAGGCACGTGGGCTTCAGTAGTTGTGGCACATGGTCTCAGTAGTTGTAGCTCGCGGGCTCAGTAGTTGTGGCTCACGGGCTGTAGAGCACAGGCTCAGCAGTTGTGGTGCATGGGCTCCACGGCATGTGGGATCTTCCCGGACCAGGGCTCGAACCCGAGTCTCCTGCATTGGCAGGTGGATTCTTAACCACTGCGCCACCAGGGAAGTCCCTCAACTACTTTTTAAAAATAAAAGTTCTACTCTTAATAACACAGCTGAAGCTTCCCATTTAGAGGAAATGATGCCCAGAGTTGCAGTAAAGACTCTGGAGAAATATTAGCCCAAAAGTTCTTTAGCCTTGCTAGGGAATTTAGATTTTAGGGTTCTTAACATAAAGTATTTCATTTAAAACAAGAACTAAGATTAATTTGACAATTAACTCATATAATAATTTATTCTAAGGGTTTTTACAAAATACTTTATGAAAATTATACAGACACAGGAAGTACAGTATAATTTAACAATTTACATTCTAATTAAAACTTTGTTGCAAGGCATGTCTGAGACCACTCTCATGCTCTTTTCATATAGTAGAGTTATAAGAAAAACAGAATCTCATATATGCAAGGTTTTTGTTTTATATACGGCACTCTATTACAAAATACAAGCTTGAGATTTATCTTAGGAGAAAATTAAGCCCAAAACTAAATTCCACCTATGGCCAGTGGGTGGCACCAAAGCACATTCGGGACTTTAACACTGGGAAAAGGGAAAGTCTCTCAAGGCAAAAAATATACGCAGTAAATATAGTCTCATTGCCCTAACATGGAATTCCATTTTCAATAGAGATTACAGAGTAAATAGCTTTCTTATGAACAAATTCTTCATCATCACTGATATTCTGCCTTTTTTTCCCCTCGTAGGAGTATCTTTCAGTCACTCTTCTACAAACCAACATTTCTTCAGTTCATGCAAGGGTTTTCAATGATCAAGTGGCAGGCCCCTCTAACTGTAGCACAAAACTGTGGTTTGAAACACGTGGTGGTGGGACTTCCCTGGTGGTCCAGTGGGTAAGACTCCACGCTTCCAGTACAGGGGGCGTGGGTTCGATCCCTGGTCGGGGAATTAAGATCCGACACGCCTTGTGGCACGGCCAAAAAATGAAAAAAAAAAAAAGAAAGAAACACATGATGGCAAATTGGAAAACTCTTTTCATTAACAACACCCCACATTTAATTATTTTTGGCAGCTTTTTCTTTGAAGCAGCAGCAATGGTTTGATTTTCTTAACTTTCTCAAACATCTTCTTTAATGTTGGAGTCACAAACACATTACATGTTTTGTTATCATTTAAGTCTCTTGGGCCTTGTAACCAAAGAAGTACATGCAGGTTGACTTTAACATGCTGTGTAGCATTTGTTATGGCAATAGATAGAAGGTGAGGATCTCTGTCTACATAGTAACATTTTTAAGATCAGATTCCACGTATTTAGTAGTTTTCAGTGGAGGAGCCAGTGGACTTTGGGTTCACTTGGAAATCTTGGCAATCAACAGCATTCTAAGAGGCAGGGTTGCTTCAATCCAAGTGTTGGGGGAATTTACCATCTTTTCCCAGAGAGCAACTTCCTCTGAAGTAGAGTCCATCCAATCCACTTCAGTACCATAGCTTTTCCCTGGAAAAAAAGGGAAGCTTTGCATTTAGAAAGGAATAGCTCATTGGGAAAAAACTGAGTCATTCCCTAATTATAATCACCAATGGAAACAGCTAGGAAGAGTTTTAACATCACCAGGAGGGCAGAGAAAGAACTGTTTAACCATCTGAGATATCCAATAATGGGACCCACCACAATTGGGATTATTCTCATTACTCTCAGAGTAATGATTTCTCTTCACATCCATATAAAAGATGAGAATCTGTCAGGTGCATAAGGGGATAGTAGGGAGGATTCCAGCATTGGGTTGGAAGTGACAGGAGGTGATCTCTAGGGAAGTGTGGTTACAGCTTTAGTGTCTAACAGACTCGATTTTGAATCCTGGCTCTGCCACTTATTAGCTCTGTTTCTTAATTTCTTGGAACATCAGTTTCTCTGGGGCTAACATTAGAAACAACTCATAGAACTGCTGTGAGGATTAAATGAAATAATGCAAATAAAGCACTTAGTACAGTGATCAGTGCTCCATAAATATTAGTTACTATTATTATGCAAAGCACACTTTTAGCCATGAAGGGCCATAAATGTTTTTTCAGGAAAGAGTAATGATGAAGGCTTTTCTGGTTTCCCCCACAATAACTTAAGCTCTGTGTGGACAGACATTGCATCCCGTTAATCTTTGTATCCAGAGTCCTTGGCACACAGCCTGACATTCCTTCACTCATTCATTTCATTATACTTAACAGAAACAATATCTGTTTTCATTAGGAAGAAGCAAAACAACAAACCAACCAATCTCTAGTGTCTCCAGAAGCATTTGACTCATGGAGAATTAAAAATGTAACAAATGTTACCTGTTCCAAAGCCAATCCGAAGACCTCCCAAAAACTGGTTGGTTAATTTGTAATGGTCCCAGACAGTAAGCTCGACACAGGCTTCCGTCAGGTCCTCGGGCCTGAACCCATCATACACCATGGTGTGGTTGAAGACAGGGTTGGTGGTTTTCCCCACAGCTCTTGTCTTCTGGCGACTTTTCCTACTTGTATCTGGAAGGATGGTACTACAAAAGGAAACATTATTGTGAGAGCATTTTAATAAGACAGTAAACTCATGCTTTCAGTGTGCTTCAGCTACGGGACTGGCGAGAGGAAATGGAAGAAAAAAAGAGTGTAGAGAGATGGTGATGGTGATGGCGATGGTGGGGCATCCTGCAGAAAGACTCTCTGCACCAGAGTGGACCACACTTGCTTGGAATCCTGACTCTGCCACTTAGTGGCTGTGTAGTATAAGAAACTGACTTAACCTCTTAGACACTTGCTTCCTCATCTATAAAATGGGAATGGTGATGCCTACCTCAAAAGGTTAATATTAGAACTACATATTAAGCAAACAACTTAGTTCAGTACCTGCACTTAGTGTTTACTATGTAGCAATTGTTTGAGGATTCCTCTAAAATCTATTCCTGATTATCTGTGATAGCCTAAGAAATCAGTCTTGTACAGAACTGCAAAAGAAGAGAAACCTCTCCAATTTGCTAGATTTGACTTTGGGAATGAATTATATTACATATTTGCAATTATTTATATTTACTTTATGGTAATAAGTGAAATTAATTTAAGCTACCATGTCTCTTGTGCAGACAAGAAGGGCCGGGACTAGTCTTGGAATGGGAGACTGACCTGAGCTGAAAAACTTATCAGTTGACATCTATGAAGAATATGTATAGGGAAAATCATAAATAAGGTCATATAAACTTAAATAGCTACAATTGGTCTTCTGGTAGAATCTATATAGATAAAATTAGTCAGAGAGAGTTAGGACAGCACAATAATATCTGTTTAGTTAAGATGCCAAGCATTTATATTACAACAGAGAAAAAGGTTGCAACTTAAAAACCCAAATTGTCTTAAACTCTTATGAGCTAATTATTAGTATGGGTCTATTTAGCAAATAACTTCCCAGATATTTACAGACTGATGCAAAAGGCCTTTTGCAAATGGGCCACAAAACAGATGCTCCACAAAGGATCCAAGAGTTGTGGCATCACCATTAGCCATTTCATAAACTCTTTAGTATTGAATATTGTCCTCATCAGCAGATGTATCTCCTAGAGGACATTATGTATCTGAGTATGTGATCTCTGGTTTCGATTGTATATATTCCCTCTTATCTTTATGATTTTAAAACTAAATGAAGTACTTCCCTGGTGGTGCAGTGGTTAAGAATCGCCTGCCAATGCAGGGGACACAGGACACAGGTTCAATCCCTGGTCCGGAAAGATCCCACATGCTGCGGAACAACTAAGCCCGTGCACCACAACTACTGAGCCTGTGCTCTAGAGCCCGCAAGCCACAACTACTGAGCCTGTGTGCCGCAACTACTGAGGCCCACGCGCCTGGAGTCCGTGTTCCGCAACAAGAGAAGCCATGGCGATGAGAAGCCCGCGCACCACAAAGAAGAGTAACCCCCGCTCATAGCAACTAGAGAAAGCCCGCACGTAGCAGCGAAGACCCAATGCAGCCAAAAATAAATAAATAAATTTATTTTAAAAACCCAAAAAGCAAAAAACTAAATGAAGCCTTGGAGAGGGTTCATGTCAAAGATCCCTCTAGCTCAAGTCGCCACTGTCTCAAGTTATTTTATTTATACTACGAATGATGACTTTCAGCATCACAGATACAGAAAAGTAAAACCAAGCAGCAAAGGCCAGGCTATTGTAGAACTGAGGGTGGAGAGTTATCAATGCTGTTACCATTTAACAAAAGAATTTAGATGGCTGCCCCTTAGCAGTGGTAGATCAAGGCATTCCTTCACCCAGATGTGCACTTCTCCAGTTGTAGGAAGCTTTTTACCTGTAACAGAAAAAAGAGAGAGAAAATGAAATTCCACTGCCATTCCTCTCTTGGCAGTACTGCATCCAAAGATGCCAACCTAAAAATGGTCTGACATAGCGATGCTAGCTAGTGTTTGATCATATGATCCTAATTGATTATATCTGTTCTTAACTATATCTTTCATAGTCTGGCTGTACTGAGCTCAGATAGCTCTATGAAAATAATTGATTCCAAGTACAGAGTATTACATCATTCTTTTTGGGTTTTGCTTGGCTCAATGAGATCAATTATAGATATTAGGTATGTGAATCATCCATTTACAGTTATATTCAAAACTACTCAGTGAAATGCATATACCTTTCAAATATTAATACCAATATCAATCGGTGCCGATAGGAGGCAT